TTTTTTGCTTCCATATGAACTTCAGGATTGTTTTTTCTATTTCAGGGAAGAATATCTTTTGTATTTGGATAGTGATTGATTTAATTCTGTAGCTCTCTTTTGGTAGATGGACATTTTAATGATATCAGTTCTTCTAATCCACGAACACAGGGAATCTTTCCATTTGTTTGTGATCTCTCCAATTTGAGTTTTATAGTTTTTCTTGTACAAGTCTTTCACTTCCTTGGTTAAATTTTTTCCGATTTACTTTAGCTTTTGTAAATGGGATTGCCTTATTTCACTTTCAGATTGTTCACTGTTGGTATATATAAATTCTACTAATTTTGTATGTTGAGTTTGTGTCTTGCAAATTTACTGAATTCATTTATCAGTTCTAACAGTCTTTGCTGGTGTCTTTAGGATTTTTTAATAATATGACCATGTCATCTGTAAACAGGGAAAATTTGACTTCCTTCTTTCCAATTTAGAGGCTTTTGTTTCTTTCTTTTGCCTAATTGCTCTGGTTAAGACCAGACACAACTTCTTTTTCTCTTTTTTATCTCCTGAATTCTTGTGAATTCAGGATGTTATTCTTGTTTTTGAATAGTTTCTATTTGTACTTTTTGTGGCTGTGTATGATTGATGCCGGTGGATCTTCTATTCATCTGTCTTGTTGCTGTAACTCCTGAGTCTTTCTTGACATTTAAAAATACAGTTTGCTGTTAGAGTATAGAAACTAATTTATGTACATTGGTTTTATATCCTGAAACGTTCCTGAATTTATTAGGGAATAGTTTTTGTTGAAGTCTTTGGGTTTTTTAATGTGTAATATTACTTTATTAGCAAACAGAAACCATGTCACTTCTTCCTTTTCTATTTACATTTTTATTTTCCTTACATAATTGCTTTGTCTGGGACTTCCAGTACTATGTTACATAAAAGTGGCAAGAGTGACCATTCTGGTCCTTTGCTGGATCTTAGAGAAAAAGCTTTCAACATTTCATTGCGAAGTGTTGTGTCAGCTGTGGGTTTGTCATATGTGGGCTTTATTATGTTGAGATACATTTCTTGTATACCTAATTTGTTGACAGTTTTGGAATTTTGTCAAATGCTTTTCTCCATCTACTTAATCACACAATTGTATCATTCATTCTGTTAATGTGCTGTGTGATGTTTATTATTTTGCATCTGTTGAAGCATCCTTGCATCCCTGGGATGAATCCCATTTGATCATGGTGAATGCTTTTTGAAATATGCTTTTAAAATTTAGTTTGCTACCTTTTTTTGAGGACTTTTACATTCACGTTCCCAAAGGATATTGACCTGCAGTTCCTTTTTTGTTCCCGTGTCCTTCTGTGGCTTTGGTATTAGGGTAATTCTGGCCTTGTAAAATGAATTTGGAAGTATTCCCACTTCAATTTTTTGGAAGGGTTTGAGAAGAATTGGTATTAGTTCTTTCAATTTTTGATAGAATTTTGCAGTGAGTCCATATTGTCCCGGGCTGCTTTTTTCCTTTTTGGTGGGAGACTTTTATTACTACTTCATTGCATTATTCATTATTGGTTTGCTTAGATTTACTGTTTATAATTCAATCCTGATAGGTTTTATTATTAATGAATTTATATCTTCCAGTTTATCTAATTTTTGGCATGCAATTTTTCATAATCTTTTGCATTTCTGTGGCCTCAGTTGTGATGTTTCCTTTTTAAATTTCTGATTTGCTTTAACCTTCTTAGTCTAGTTGATTTTGTTTTCACAAAACAACTCACATGTTTTTGCATTGGTTTTATGACTTATGTTGTTTCTTCTGATTATTAATGTACTAATTTGGGGTTTCTTTTTTTCTACTTAATTAAGGTACAACATTCCCTTTTCTTATTTGAGGTCTTTCTTCTTTTTTGATGTAGCCCTTCATCGCTATAAACTTCTTTTATCTGCTTTCGCTGTGTCCTGTCGGTTTTGGTATGTTGAATTTTCCATTTTCATTTGTCTCAAGCAACTTTTTATTTTCCCTTTTAATTTTTTCATTGACTCACCTATTGTTTAGGAGCATATGGTTTAATCACATTTGTAAACTTTCAGATAATTCTTTCATTCATTTACAGTTTAAACTGCTGTGATCAGAAAAGATGCTTGATATTTTGATCTTACATCTTTTCTATAGTCAGATATGTGATCTAACCTAGAAAATGTTTAACATGCAATTGAGTATAATGTGAATTCTGCAGCTACTGAATAAAATGTTTTGCATATGCTTTTTCGGTCCATTGACCTAGAGTGCAATTTAAAGCTGTTATTTCATCGTTGACTTCCTGTCTGGATCATCTTTCCATTGCTGAAAGTGGGGCGTTGAAGTTTCTTATTATTTTATTGCTATCTCTCCCCTTAGATCTATTAATAGTTATTTTATATATTTAGGTGCTCTAATGTTTAGAGTGTATATAGTCACAATTATTATACACTTTTTGTTGAATTGGCTTTTTAATCATTATATAAGATCTTCTTTGTCTCTTTCTACAGTTCTGGACTTCAGCCTATTTTATCTGATGTGAGCATAGCTAGTCCTGCTCTTTTCTGGTTACGACTTGCATGGGATATCCTTTTTGACCACTTCACTTCAGTCTATATTTGTCCTTGCAGGTTAAAATAATCTGTTGAAGGTAGCATTTTTTATTCATTCTGCCACTGTGTCTTTTGATTGGACAATTTAATACATTTACATTCAAGATAATTTTTGATACATAGGGACTTAACACTATAATTTTTTAGTTGTTTTCCATTGTTTTGTAGAGTCTTTTTTCCTTCCTTCCTATCTTCTTTTGGGGATAAGTGATGTTTTGTCTAGTGGTATGTATTGGTTCCTTGTTGTAAAAAAATTTTTCTCTATGTACTACAGGTTTTTGCTTCGTAGTTACAAGACTTAGCAAAAATGTTATAACAGGTTATTTTAAGCTGCTAAACAACTTAACTTCGAGCACAATAAAACTCTACAAAAATCATTTTTCAAGAAATTTTGCTGTATTTTGTTTCCTGTTACAAATGTTTTAAAGATAACCATAAAATATGTCTATAATTATAATCCAGCAAATTGAGAGTTGACACATGCTCTTTAACTCATCCAAGTTAGAGTATGCATTTTATATTGTCTGAGTTCAGGAAAAATATTAAAAACTAGTTCTCTCACATTTTTTTCCAAAACACTACAGAATCTTTGTTATAGTCATAAAATAATTGGGTGTGGTGAGAGAAGAGGAATCTGTACATTTGAAACCACCTGATAATTCACTACTTGGACATAGTCCATTAGCAAATTATAGGCATGCAGCTACCACAGTTGTACTTTTATGTAACAGGTTCAGCAGGCCCCACCTCAAATGTCCTCCTATCAGCCTATCCTGGTGTAAAGGCACAGTCGACTCCACTTAGATCAACATCATTTAGATCACCATTCTCATTTACCTAGTGTCTATGTTTTTGGTCTTGCACATCTCCAATTGGTTACCACACAAATAACATTTCCAAAATGCAAATCTGATCATCTCACTATTGTTTTTAAAACCCTGGGCCACACAAAGGCAAGAAAGGAGGCTAAAATGAAATAAGAAAGAAGGATCTCCTGGAGCATTGATCTCTCATTTGGTGAGAGCCTGTCTTTGCCCATGCTGTGCTTTTCCCTTGCAGCATGTCTCTGTGAGCATTGTTTCCCTGCCTCCACTGTCACACACTCAGCTGAGGGCAACTTCTAGTCACTATTCAGCACTGAGCCCCAGAGTCTCCTCTCAGCTCCTTGTTTGAACTCAGCTGTCACAGATGGAATTAGTGTGTCCTTATGAGCTGTACCCTTCACACAAGAGTATCAAAACAATTTATTACATTTGTTTGCATAAATTACATGTATTTCTCCAGTGCCTTGGAAAAAGTAGCCATGTGCTATTTCAAATTTATTCTTAGCTATTTTTAATTATAATAAAGCACAAAATGTTTGTTGAACAAATGAAGGATTGAATGCTGATGCCATCAACTCTCCTTGTTTATATAACAAGTTACATGTTGGAAATCTCAGCTCAGGAATCACCCTGGGCAGGTAACCTTCCCTAAAACTCCTTCCACTCAGGTATAATATTTTTTCTGCAGTCCGTTACGTGGTCTTACATCCTCAGTATACCATATGGCACTGAATATTTCAGAGAGGCAATATCGACTAGGTGCTGTCAGAATCAGACCATGCAGAAAAAGGTAGCCCTCAATAAAGAGGTGATGACTGGATTTTCTAATTAGACACAATGAAATGAACATGATTTCTAAGATGTCACAATTCCACCAAGCAGAAAGGAGAACATTTTCAAAAAGGGAGAAAAGCCTGGTATTTAATTATCTGTAAATGATTTGAAATTTACAGAAAACTATCATAAATAAAAAATACTACAATTAATACGTATATACCCTCCACCTGGACTCACCTGTGGCAGCAACATTGTGCCGTTTGTTTCATTGCCCCTCTGTCTCTCTCCCTCCCTCTTTCCCTCTCATCATTTGAGCACCTCATGACCTTTTTGCCTCTAAATATTTTATTATGCATTTCCTAAGGTTAAGAATATTTTTTCACAAAATTACCAGTCATCAACTTCCAAAAATGTTACATTAGTACAACACAATC